ACTTAATCACTTAATCCCCGTTATTCATCGATTTATTCGAGCGGGTGCCAGTAACGTCTCCATTCATCCCGGTTGCGTGCTAGCGTAGCCCAATGGTATCTGTTCGTTTTAGGAACATATAGAGCCTCAAACCGATCATTTAGGGTCTTGACGAAGAAGTCTGACCATCTTATAGGTGGGCGTCCACGTGATCTTTTGATGTCTCGTGGAATCCAATCAGTAATGGCTCTAGTCCAGCGGTTGTCTGTAAACCTCATTACATGTCCAGCCCATCTGATTTTTGATGTCTTGGCAAATGAGACAGCGTCTCTGATTCTTGAGCGTTGACGAAGATCAGAACTCCGGATTCTATCTCTCATTTGAGTGAATCGTGATATTCCAAGCATAGTTCTTTCGATTCCTCTTTGAGAGACCCGAATAGTGTTCTCATCCTGTTTTCGTAGGGTCCAGGTCTCTGAGGCATATGTTAATGCAGGAAGAATAGTGGAATCAAAGAGATGTGCTCGTAGTTGGAGGTTCTTTGTCCTTTTAGTTATTTCTTTAATGCTCTTGAAGGCATTCCAAGCCGCTCTCTTCCTCCTGCGTAACTCGGGTGCCAGGTCATTCATCATGTTGATTTCTCGACCTAAGTATATATAACTGTTGCATTCGGAGATGGTGGTTCCGTTGAGAGCGAATGGAGCGTCAGGAACAAGGCTGTTTCTCATAAACATTGTCTTCGTAAGATTCAGCTGTAGTCCGACCTTTCCACACTCACGGTCAAAGTCCGCAAGCATTTGTGCCGCTTGGCTGATGTTTGGTGTTATTAGAACGATGTCATCAGCAAAGCGGAGGTGGTGTAGTTGCCGACCATCTATCTTCACTCCCATGTTTTCCCATTCTAGTCGTCGCATGATGTTCTCGAGGGTGGCACTGAAGAGTTTTGGTGAAATGGTATCACCCTGCCGAACCCCTCTCTTGATATGGATGATTACTTCTTTGTAGAATGGTGAGATCTTGGTAGTGAATCCGCAATAGAGCTCACGAAGGATCCTGATGTATTGAGTTTGTACGCCCTGATTGGCTAGGGCTTCCATGACCGCTTCCGTCTCAACAGAATCAAAGGCCTTCTTTAAATCAATGAACGTTAGACAGAGCGGCATCTTGAACTCCCGAGATACCTCAATGAGCTTGGTTATTGTGTGGATATGGTCGATGGTACTGAATCCTTTTCGGAATCCAGCTTGTTCACATGGTTGTCCTTCATCTAGTGTTCTGCTAATCCTATTCAGGATGACTCGAGTGAATAGTTTGTAGATGACAGACAATAGGCAGATTGGGCGATAGTTGCCAATGTCGTGGATGTCTCCTTTCTTGTATAGTAGTACAGTCTTGCTGGTTTTCCATTGGGATGGAACCTTGCATTCAGACAGGTAGCGTGTGAAGAGTCGAGCTAATGTATTGATGAGTACTGATGGTAAGTTCTTCAGGTGTTCAGGTCTGATCTTGTCTGGGCCAGGTGCTTTTTGTTTCTTTACCGACGAGATGGCATGTTGGATTTCGGAAGGGAGAACATTGGGAACGACATATCCATCATGTGGTATGTGGGCAAGTGGATGTGGCTATTAAAGAGATCTGAGTAGAAGTCATGAATAATCTTCTCCATTGCCCTTCTGGAAGATGTGATAGATCCATCATGATGTCGGAGGGCAGTCATCTTGGTTTTGTAGTTGGTGAAGGACAGGTGGGCATTACGACATTATGACATTACGACATTATGACATTACAGGCATGTCATACTCCCCAGTAAACCCTCATTTTTTTATGTTAGAGTTCATTGATAATTTCATTTTAGCATGTCCTTTTTCAAGTTATAGTTTCCTATCTAGGGAATTTCACCAATAGTTTCAATTACCCATAAGTGACTCCCTGTGATTTTCTATTTTCAGTCCATAATTTCTCCAATTTTAAAATAAAGTCTGTCTAAATAAACTTTCTCCTGAAAGCTCTACAAGGACTTGAAATCTAAAATGTGAGAATCAAAAGAACATGTTCCTTATTTGGTATGGAGCCATCAATTCAACTCTTTCTCTCCCCCACCTACTTTCAATCTTTCAAGTGAGGCCTGTGGATTACAAATATGAGCCACTTTTCCAATCTCTGAAATTCTTGCTATATTGGGTAAAGATATTTACAGCACTTCTGAACTACTGCAAAGATCTCACAACTAATTTCATATCTATTTCTATTGCTATTCAATCCACTTAAATTAGTAAACTATAGGTGTCAGAGAGATTAAGAAGTGGCCCAGTACACAGATTAAGAAACTAGCCTTGCATACAAAGGGCCCCATTAATCCCCAGAACTGCATAAGGTCCTCCACCTTCGCCAGGAGTGATCCCTGAATAGAGATATAAGCCTTAAGCACTGTCAGGTGTGGCCCAAATGGCCAACCCCTAACCCCCCCCCCCCACAAAATTACTGTATTATAAAACATGGTAATTAGTAAATGTTATGGAGCAAAATTTATCTTAACCAGAGTTAGGAAATGTGCCTATTGTTTTAAACAGAGTATCCAGAGGAAAAACCTCTGCAACAGGGTTGAAGTGTGGCAGCAGTTAAAAACAAGAGTCAAAAGACTCAGACCTGATAGGCCATAATAAGAATAGGGTATGACTGAGAAGGGAAGCCATCTGAAAAGTGTTAAGATCCAAAATCTTTGATCATGATCATCACACTGTTGAATGCTAAAGGGTTTAGGTCAGTTATTTCCCAAAGTGGCAACACTATTCTCCCCCCAACAGGGGACACTGTGCTGAACCAGGGGAGGATGAGGGTGGAGGGACAGTTGTGCTGGTAGAGTAATCTCAGGTGCAACTAACTGGGAGGGTCACTGTTTATTCACTTAAGGTATGTTATCAGGGAGGTGCTATTCTATATATATGTGTATGTGTATATATATATACACATATATGCGTATATCCATATATATACCCCTGATGTTTTAAGTGAACTAAGGTCTAGACAGTTTTTTAAGACACCATATCTGCAAGATGATGTTTCTACAATTTCTACTGTAAACTGGTTTAAATATCAAAAATTCACAAAACCAAAACAAAACTGATGACAATGCAAAAATAAGTCTTGTGAACAGCATAATGACAACCTGAGTTTTAACTTTGGGCACTACTCAAAGCTACTAATAGTTAACCACAGCACATGCAAGAAAAGGAATAGGCCATTAACTTATCCTTGGAGTCATAGGACATAAAGAATTAAGGTTTCAGGCTTCTTTATTTCACTGGGCAAGGTAAAGTCAAGATCCAACTTATTGTACTAAAGAGCAAGGACAGGGGTGGCAGAATTTCCCAAAGAGAAGTCACAAAGAAAATCTAGGGATTTCTGACCACTCTCCCTCTATCTGGCTCTCGGTACTAGAGATCAGACCCAGGGCCTCACACATAAAAGGTCACGCAAAAAAGTCAGGCGTTCTATCCTGAGTCACATCCTAGCCGCACACTCTTGATATGCCCAACACCCTCTGGAGTTATATTCTACACACCTCACGGATGTACTAAGAATTGGCCAAAGAGTTGCAAAATAACTCAAAATAACTCAATAACTTTGTCAATGCAAAAAAAAAAAAAAAAAGCATCAACAGGGCCAAGTAACTACTGTGATTCGCCCTATCTCTGCAGAACGCAGGCACAGCTTAAAAATTCAGTGACCCCCCTAAATAGTTTCATTCTTGTCCCAAAGACCTCATTACTACCACGGAGACACTAAAAAAAAAAAAAAGTCACCCTTAAAACCATCTCCATCAGACAAATTTTCAGGGAACACATATAGGACGAATGAATTTTCCATTTTCCTCTAGAGCATTCTTCCCGTAGACATACCGGGGAATGGGGGGGGGGGGGGGGGGGGAGAGGGGGGTTTACAGTATGAGTACACTTAAAACACACAGTTGCATTCTATCACATTTTGCCACAAAAAAAAAACTTTAAAATGTACCCAAGTTCTCAGGCTTTGAAACAATGACTTTCACTTGCAAGTACAAAAAAAAAAAAATTGCAAACCGTTTAGCTACACTGTTAGAACACTGGCGCTCGCGCGCCCCACTCACCCCCGGTACACTGTTTACTTACACAAAGCAATTTCGCAACACATTCAGACACAACTTTCCAATGGGATTTCCTCCGAACCAGTTCCAACCGGGGCACGACCCAGCACCAAACCGCTCTCCCCGTTCTTCGCGGCTGGAGATCGAAGCCGGTCGGACAACTGTCACGGGCAGAGGACCGGGCGGGGACCGCACCCGACCCCGACTCTCCCGCACGCCGGCGGGGGAGACGTGCAACACACCGGCAACTTCGAGCGTCTTTTTAAATTTATTTATTTATTTATTTTTGCTTACAACCGCCTGAGCCGAGTCGGAGTCCCCGGCAGGAATCTAACTTTCGCCACAACAACAACGACGACGACGACGACAACAACCCGACTGCTCCTTCCTAGACCGGAGCCCGCACGCCTGCGGGGGGACCCGCACGCACGCACGCGCCCGGGGCCCGCGCGAAACTTCCTGCCGGCGCCGCGGGATCCGCTCGGGCCGGGGCGCGACCCCGGGGCCGCGGGGCCATTGTGCGGCCGGCGGCGGCGGCGTCCGCCTCCTGGCGGGGCTCGCGCTCCGCGGGCTCCTTTGTGGCCCCGCGGGCCGGGGCGGGAGCGGCCGGCGCCGCCGGAAGGTCACGTCGCGCGGCCGCGCGCGGCTCCCGCGAGCTGAGGGGCTGAGGGGCCGGTCGCGCGGGGCGGCGAGGCCCGGGAGGCCCGGCCGGGCGCGAGGCGGCGCGAGGCCTCCCGCCGCCGCCGCCGCCGCTCCCGCCGGGCGGCCCAACTTTCCTCCGGGCCGGCCGCGGCCTCAAACTTTGTCCGTCCCCGCCTGCCCGCCCCGGCCCCCAGCCCCCGGCCCGCGCCACCGCCGCCGCCGCCGCGCCCCCACCCCGCGGCCCGGCCGCGCTTACCTCAGGCCGCGGCCGGGCGCTGCGGGCTCCGCGTCACGCCGCCGCCAACTTCCCCAACATGGACTCCGGCCGGCGGCGAGACGGCGCGGCGGCCCCGGGTGCGCGGCTCGCGCTCGCCGCGCCTGCTCGGCCTCCTCCCCCCGCGGCGCCGCGGCGGCCCCGCCCCCGCTCGGGCCTGGCGCCGCCACAGGTCGGCGCGCGCCGGTGACGACGGCGCGGGCGTTCCGCGCGGGCGACCCGCGGCAGCTCTCGGCGGGGCCGCGGCGGGGCGCTCGCGCGCCGCCACCACAGCCGACGCGGAACGTGGCGGGCGGAGTCGCGTCCCGGCGCACGCCCGGGATGGCCGCGCGGGCGCCTGGGAAGAGGTGCCCGCCCCGCCCCGCCCCCCGAGCACGCCCCGCCCTCCCGCGCACGCCCCGCCCCCCGCGCACGCGCCGTGCGTCGGCTCCGGGCGGGGGCGTCACGGGGGACAATAAGGAGGAGCTCCAGGGATCCGGCCGCCAGAGCGCTGGAGGGGCATTTGACATTCTGGTTTGGGTTTTTTTTTTTAATTATTTTTATTGGTTTGGGTTTTTTTGGATTTTGTGTTTAGAATAGCAGTCTAGGATTGAAAGATGCGCTCACTTTTTGGTAAGCCTGTTCAGCAGTTCTCCATAACAGACAACGTCAAATATATTCTTTCGGTTGCATTTGGGGACGGGGCTTGGGGTGGAAACGTCCTGAATTTGGTGGTGGGAAGGCGTAATGCTGGTGGGATGGGTGTTGGACTGTTAAATGTAATCAAACATTGTGAACTACCTTGTAAAATTAAAAAAAAATAGAAAGATGTGTTCAGCATGTGGTTGCACGCCGGAAACGCCTTCTTCCTGGACTATGAAGTGGCCCTGACGTCCAGCCCACGTCTTTATTTTAAAAGTAGGTAGGGGTGCCGAGTCTACACTGCAGGGCAACAGTGTGAACCTCTTCCCTCTCCTCCTCTGTTCAGCCCCCGGCACCACAGAAGTCTAGGGGAGAAGTTGCCCCACTTCACTAACATTCTCAAGTCTCGGTGCCTTGATTCTCAATAGAGAAATTAATTCTCTCTAAATAAGAAATTCCATTTGAGGGATCCTGGAAAATGTGCAAAGGGCTAGAACACATGCATTGCAGGAGTCCGTGACTACTGGAGCACCACCGAGCCTCACCCCAGCACTGGTGACACAGCTACGTGTGACTCCAAAAACAAACAAAATGAGTGTAGGGTCCAGAGCGATGGTAACAGGGGCCAGGGCGCTTGCTTTTCCCGCGGACAACCCAGGTTTGCTGGCCAACACCCGGATACGGTCCAAGTCCGCCAGAGTGCAGAACCCCCGGAGTAAGCCCTGAGTACCACTGAATGCAGCCCCCCCCCAAAAAAAATAATAAAAACCCAAATTGAACTAGAAAAACCACTTTGGTTAGATGTTTATTTTGTGGTGGGTAGAAGAGGAGACTATCACCTGAGAAAGTTGGGTTCTGCCTTACATGAGCAGGGACCAATGAGGTGACAGCCTCAAGAATCCTCTGTTTCCTCTCTCTTTCTACCCACCTTGGTCACCTGGGGAGTTTTAGGAGTGTTTGGCATTTGCTTGGTATTCAACAGCCCCAGGAGGTGATCGTCTAACTGCACCTGAGTCCCATTTGTTCTGCCAGGTGTGAGCTGGGTCATACTACTTCTTGGGGGGAGCTATGGAACCCAGACTAGAGTGAGGAATTGCTCTTTGCAGAACACGAAAGTCTAACCCAGGCTTCTTCAGATCCATTGCCTTCCCTCACAGAAAAGAATAATGAGTGGGCTGGAGATATAGCACAGCAGGTAGGGCTTTCGCCTTGCACACAGCTGACCCGGGTTCGATTCTCAGCTATCCCATATTGTCCCCTGAGCACTGCCAGGAGTAACTCCTGAGTGCAGAGCCAGGAGTAACCCCTGTGCATCGCCAGGTGTGACTCAAAAACCAAAAAAAAGCAAAAAAAAAAAAAAGAAGAATGAAGTAACACAGGTTTATATGGAATAAAAGGGGAGAAAAATGCGTGCTCAGGAGAAAACATAGGCTTCTTCGGAATGGAAGGAAAAAACGAGTCCACATTCCAAGCAGCAATGTGGACACTGAGAAAATGCAGCTTACGGTAAGAAATCACCCATCTCGCCAAGAGAGTCTGGCAAATTCACACCTTTTCCTCTGCCAAGTTTGTATATATCCAGTTACCCCAAACTGCCTCCCCACAATCTGTTGCTCAGGTGGCTGGAGGGGGTGAGCTTGGAATTCTCAATGGTCTTATTTTGATGTGCTTCAGCTGGAATTCTGTAGTTCAGTAGTTTTTCCCTTCTTCCCAAGTGGGTCCTGTGTCCCAAAGGCCTTTCTTCAATGTCTTTGCACTAGCTTAGGTTCCAGAACACTGTATTTTTCTCCCAATGCACATGGCCTGGCATTCCCCTGTCTCCGACTCCAACAGTTTGCACATTCATTCAGTAACTTGTTGGGAACTGCATATCTTCTTTTTCTTCTCTGTAGCTTGTGTCAGAGAGGAACTTGTTTTCAAAGTTACTGACTCTTTGGCTTAATAGATTGCTTTTTCAAAGATGTCCACAGAATTCTAACTTAACCAGCTATAGGTATCCAAGCCGTTTATTCCCTCCCACCCCACCCACTGCCCAGTAATAGCTACCACAGGATGAAGCTCTTGGCGCCCTGGGCTCACCATTTGTTCACCCCTGCCTGCCTCCAAGCTGTGAGGCAGCATTGCATGTTTTCCTTCATCTGCCCCTTTCACTGCTGCCGTCCCAGTCCCAGCCACCTGGTGTCTTGCCCAGAATGACTTTCCTCCTTACTGTTTCATGGACTGTCAATCCTTCTGCCACAGTTGCCCCGATGAAGCTGGTGGCTGACTCCCCAGCTACCCACTCTCTTTCAGTTGTATCATGTTTATTCTGCTCAGTGTCTGTCTAACAATATAAGAACAAAGTCTTGCTATTTTCCTGAGTAACTCCTGCCTTGAAGTCAATAGGACTTGGTAAGGAATTGGTGAAGAAATAATGAATGGCAACCTTGTATCTGTTTCAAAGTCTTTAGACTATTACAGTGTATATGTTGTAATACTTTCAAGTATTACAGTGTATGTGTTTCACTTGGATCCTTTGGGGATTTAAATGGACCTTACTAGGTTTGAGATATTAGAAGTAACAACTCCTTTAACTTCTAAAGGAGTTAAAATTGTGTCTTCTGATAGAAGAACAAATTGCTTTTCCTGCTAACAGAGCTATAAACAATGATTGATAGGTAAGACAATAAAAATTCTGTAAAAATTGCATGTAACCAGGTCAACTAACACTGTTATGATATCCTGAATAAGACTGTATCTTTGCTATGTATGCATACACCAAGGAGAATTAAACTTTCCTAGTGTATCGTTCACACAGGAGCTATAGCATAGCAGGTAGGGCATTTGCTTTGCATGCAGCTGACCTGGGTTCGGTTCCTCCTTCCCTCTCAGAGAGCCCGGCAAACTACCGAGAGTATCCCACCTGCATAGCAAAGCCTGGCAAGCTCCCCGTGATGTATTCGATATGCCATTTTTGGCATAATAATAACAAGTCTCACAATGGAGATGTTACTGGTGTCCACTCAAGTAAATCGATGAACAATGGGAAGACATTGCTACAGTGTAGTGCTTTAGTGTAAATCCAGATTGAGATTATAAATAACTCTATTGGGAAGAGAGGGGGTTTATTCTCAAATTTTCATAATATCAAATAAGGGACTAGAGAGAGAATACAGGAGGCATCATCTTATCCAAAAGGTATTTGCCTTACTTGTGGCCTATCCTGGGTTTTTTTTTTTTTTTTGGCATTTTAGGTCACACCCGGCGATGCACTGGGGTTACTCCTGGCTCAGGCACTCAGGAATTACTCCTGGCGGTGCTTGGGGGACCATATAGGATGCTGGGAATCGAACCCAGGTCAGCCACATGCAAGGCAAACACCCTACCCACTGTGCTATCGCTCCAGTGCCTACACTGGTTCTTAAGTGACAAGTATAGTACTCCTTACACCTGAGACCTGCCAGGAGTGACCCCTGAGCTCGGAGCCAGGAGTAAGCATAGAGCAATCCCAGGTGTGCCTGCTCCTCTCCCTCCAAAATTAAAAAGGGGGGGAGTTAAATGATAGCATTTGCCAATTATAAAACTCTTATTTAAAAATTAACATTAAGAGGGGTGGAGTGATAGTATATCAGGGAGGGCACTTGCCTTGCATGCAGTCAACCTGAGCAAGCTGGGTTTGATCACCAGCATCCCTTATGGTCTTCTGAGCCCACCAGGAGTTAATCCCTGACCACTGCCAGGTTTAGCCCCCAAACTAGTAGACAAAAATAATTTTCTCCAAAATAATTGACACTAACAGTATATGGGTATTAGGGGTGTTCTTTGCATGTCAGAGGCCCAGGCTGGATCACTGGCACTTTGTGGTGTCCTGAACACTTGGAGGAAAGAACCCCTGAGCATCAAGCCTTGAGTAGTAGGATCTGGCACAAAAATTTTTAAAAAAAAATTTATTTTTAACAAAATTATGAATATTTTGCTTTTCTTTACAATCAGGTGCTTTTCATCTTTTTTACAGTAGTCCTCTTAAATGCGATTGAACATGTTTTAGGAGAAAAGTGGTCTTTGTAGGGAGTCCTCTCTAGTGGTGCTGAGAACAAGCTGTGCTTGGGGGATCCTACAAGACATGAGGACCAAACCAGGGCCACGTACAAGCCAGAAGGCCACTGTAGCTCACTGATCTATTGCCCCGTCCCAGAGAAAAGATGCTCAATGCATATGTGCCAGGTTTCACTATCACGTGCAAATAGAAAGAAAGCAGGTGGTGGTGGAATAGGCCAGCTCTTGCCTTCCCAGATAGCACAGCGGGTAGGACGTTCGCCTTACCAGCGGCCAACTTGGCCAACCCGAGTTCGATTCCTCCGCCCCTCTCGGAGAGACCGGCAAGCTACCGAGAGTATTCAATATGCCAGACACAGTAACAATAAAGTCTCCAATGGAGACGTTACTGGGCCCGCTCGAGCAAATCAACGATCAACGGGAGGGCCTTTACCTTTTACCTTTTATTTCTGTACATGT